CAAAAGCCTTAAAAAGCAGATGACCATGTCACTTACTCACTGACACAAGTCAAACTATCTCGGATCTTGCCTTAGTTTTAAACTGAGATGTTGATGTGATTCAACCTAAACGCTAAACTCAATAAAACAAAGCTTTAACTTTAGACTCCAGGATATGCAATTTTTATTATAAAAAGTGAGCGCAGAGGAATGATTTGAAAAACGAGGAGGGGGCATTTGAGGGCCAATGAGGAGAGGGATCCTTCTGCACCGCCCATCATTCATTGGGAGGAAAGACCTAGGTCACTGGATATGTCAGAAAATAAAAGCAAGTGTTTCCAATTTCCAAAAACAAAAATGCAAGTATGAACAAAGAGGAACTACAAACTCACTTGATCTGAACTTTTAGATGTGCAACAATTCTTCCCTCCTCAGGAGCCTTTTTTTGGAGAATGGCAGGGCTGCGGAGGAAGGAACTTTGCGAAACACAAGGCCTTTCTTAGAGCACAGGGCCAAATCTCCTCTGGTCTCACACATAAAACCGGTGGGAGAGGGAGGCTGGCATCTGTCCTTGAATTCACAGCAGATTCCTGGGATCAGAGGTTTGAGAATGCGGTGGTTCCGAAAAACGTAGCAGCACTCACGGCGCCTCCAAGTAGGGACACTCCCATCATTTAGTCCCAGAAGTCTGTCTCAGAGACACTTCTAGCTCTAAAAGTCCCATCTCAAGCCCAGGACTGTGCCTTCTTGGTGGAAACCTTCATCCTAGGACTGAATACAGTATTGACTTTCCTCTTGCGGACATTGCTCTGTGCAGACAAGTGGGGACTGTGAGGGGAGGGAGGGAAAAGCACCAGGATCGGCCTCACAACCGCACCCACCGTCACAAAATCCCAACCTGGACCTGACAGGCAGGAGCGCCTGTCACATTGAATCAATCACACGATCCCCCTCTGCTCCTCACGCACGCACAGGCCTGAGGCTCCTGGCACCATGCGCCCCTTCCGCGCTCCGGGGCGTCTTGGGCGGCAGCCCCTTCCCTACTCCTACGAGTCCCGCTTCGTCTCACCTAGCGCCGACTTCTTCCCTGACTGCAACTAACTCACCCGCGGTGCCTGAACCGCCTAGATCGCACTGTAGACCGCCATCAGGGTCGTAGCAAGCACCGCCGCTGGGGTTTCTGGGAAATGTAGTCCACAGCCCGAAGCCGGTGGGCGTGGACCGCGAATGCGCAGGCGCACGGAACTGCTGCCTCTAGGCCGGGTCTCGCGCCCCGCGCGATGAACTGAGGGAGCCTTGCACCTGGGGACTGTGTGGACTGTGCAGACATCACGGGTCCGCCAGAGTGCCAGACCGCCGAAGGCACCTGTGGGTGCGACCCTGAGGCCGAGCGCGTGCCGGACGCGGCGGGAGCTCCGGATGTGGTCAGTTTCATTCTCTGAGGTTATCCCGGCGCCTGGTACAGTGTGAGCTTTATACGTACATTTTAAAGAATTGACGTGTTGCCCTTTGTATCCTGACTTGTGAGAGTGTGTGTGTGTGTGTCACTGTGAAGGTTGCGGGACTAACTGCACCTCTCTGGCTGTGGGTGAGTTGTGTTTCTGCGTGTGCGTTATTCTTTGCGTATGAGACGGCGTGTGACTGAAGGGGCATCTGATGGAGTGAGGTCGCAGAAAGTAGCTTGGAAGGGTGATTTGCGACTCTAAGCTATGAGGTGACAGGCTTGGTGGGAGATTGTAGCTGTGCTTGACTGTGACTGGGGTCATATGCGTTTTGTGGTGTGGGTGTGGGTTGCTGTGTGACCGGGGTTGTTGAGTGGCTGGTGCAAGCCAGGCTGTATGAGGATGGGTATGTGTGATTCTGAATATCTGGGCAGGTGGGACGTCATGGGCGCCAGTGGACTCGTGACCGTGTGTATAAGATCCAGTGCCTCTTCTGCGGAATAAAAAGAATATGTTGCATCTTCCTGCAGCATCGGCTTTACTTGAAGATTTGGACCGAAGATTTGTAATTTATCCACCAAATAACTTTGCCTTTTTATATGGGGTCAAATAAACCTTTTCATAAAGAAAAATGCAAATCATAACTTTTTTTAAATATGAAGAAATCTTTCCACTCTGGTGCTGTCAGGGCCTTTGTCAGATAAATGTGAGAGTTTTGGAATGAGAAAATGGCTTTATGCTTGGAAGGGCAGTGTGCCAGACTAGTGAGCTCACAGTTAGGATCAGATGTCCTGGATTCTAGGTCAGGCTTTGTTAGTCCTACTTTCTAAAGCGAAAACCTTAAAGAACATATTTAAGACCGTGCACAGTCCATCAGGGAATGACTTGTTTTATTTCGAAGTATAACACATTTTGCTCTTCCTCTTCCCTTTCTGAAAAATTCAATCTGAAAGTTAGAAGATGGGTTCAGAGCAGGTTTCGGAATCTGAGCAGGATGTGGGGGGTGTTCGTGCAGGAGGTGGCTTGGTGCAGGGTGACACAGCCCACTGGGGGCATTCCGAGTGGTAGGATGGACTGGCGTCAGGGAGTCAACCTGAGCAGGGTAAGGGGGATTTCAGAGCCCAGGCCGCACGAAGAGGGCATCCGGGAATGAATTACTGCTGCCCAGTGTTGGGCATTGGAGGTATTCACGTGGGCCAGATAGGAGGTGGTGAGCGTCAGAAACCAGTATTCACTTCTTCTTCTTACCAATCACAGCTTTTGCCTCACTCCGGTCTGCCTTCATTATAGGTAAGATTTATTAGTGCCCACTCGTGATAAAATTCCTCTTGCTTCCTGACAGTACCCGATGCGGAGCAAAGCCCTGCTTCCCGAAACCCTCCCTAAAATCACCTTGCACAAGCCCAAATCCTTTAATAAGTCTTTTCTGACACCCTCTTCCTAGGACGCCGCAGTTCCCCATAGTGTGCATCCTCCCTTGTCATACGAGTGCTGAACCCGACTTGTTCAGCTGTAGGGGTGTTCCTGGGGGATGTTGATGGACATAATAAATGTGCAGCTAATTGTAACATTATTATTGTGGCAGCTTTTGCTCTCACTGGCCTTGGCCTCTGCTTACTTTCAAAATGCAGAAAGTAATTTCAAAATGCAGAGTCCTGCTCAGAAGGCCTGAGTCCCCCAGAGGAGCTGTGTTAACCCAGGTATTCGGGGGTCTTCTCATCTAAACGAAATGGAGAAGTGGGAGGAAGGCAGCAATCACCGAAGACTCAAATGGTCTTCTACCTATAGGAAATGGGGGTGCGAGATGTACGGGCTTTATCTCGTAGTCATGGGCTGCAGTCTGAGTTCATTTTCCATCCCTTTCCCCAAATTTCTGGTCATTTAGTTCAAATCCTTTGCTTCTCCCTCAAGCTTTAGCCCAGGCCATGTACCTCACCCGCTCTTGTCAGAGGGACACAGGATCCTATTCAAGGCCCAGGTTCTCCAAAGGAGTTAAACTTCTGAGTAGAAATGAAGACAGATTCAATGTTGTATATTTATTGAATAATCAATCTTGGGTAAAGAGAAAAGAGAACTAGGTTTGGGAAGAGACTGAGGAGTGAGGGAAGTCCCTGGGTCCTGCGCTGCAGGGGGAGGGGTCACTTGTAAAACTCATGCTCCTGTTCATCCTTCTTGATGACCGTCTTGTATGCCTTCTCGAAGTCCTTGGCCAGAACAATGTAGCGGTTCTCTCGGACGGCCAACATTCCACTCTGTTAAGGGGTGAGAGTTAAAATCTCCTCCCTGCACTCCCTACCCCTAGTGATGGTGGAGGAAGAGACAGACAGGGCCCAAGACCCCAGGGAAACGATGAGGGACAGCAGGATTGCAGCAGAGCGGTCTCAGAGACGGTCTTCGCCCACCCCAGCCCAATCCAGAGAGTCACTCACCTCCTGACAGATGGAGTTGATATCAGCCCCTGAAATCTTATCTGGCCGGGCCACATCTGCAGTGGGTGAGTTAAGGAAACTATTTCTGGCATGACGGGGTGAATGCCTGGGGCCGGAAGTCACCCTTGGGCTGTCCTTGTCATCACCCCCACTTCCTGGACTTTGGTCTTCTACCTGCACAATCTGGGTGACGGTGATGGCAGGGGTAGAGATGAAGATCCAATCCTTGTTCCCCGCCAACCCTCCCCTCGCTCGCAGAGCAGGATACAATCTTCCAAGTCAACCTCCTCAGAGAGATTCATCTTGCTGGTGATAGTGGAGAAAATCAATCTCTTCTGGCGGCGGTCAGGGAGTGGAAATTCAATTTTACGGTCAAGGCGTCCTGGCCGCAGCAGGGCAGGATCCAGGGTGTCTGCTCTATTCGTGGCCATGATCACCTGCCATCGGGGACAGGTGGTTCATACCTCTGTACCCACTACACCCTCCGTCACACCATGATACCTGCCCCCTCACGTGCCAGCCCCCGCCTTCCCCGGATTCCCGCATCACACCTCCCCTTGCCCACCCCGAACCCTGAACCTTGACATTGACGTTCTGGTCGAATCCATCCATTTGATTCAGCAGCTCCAGCAGGATTCTCTGAACTTCCCTGTCAGCTGGAGTGTACAATAGTCAGTCCACGGCATTCTGTGCGACAAGCCTGCCCAAGACCCCAGACCCTGTTTGGGCATCACTCACCCCCTGTCTGGGCATCAAATCTCTTAGTGGCGATGGCATCGATCTCATCTATGAAGATGATGGCAGGTGCGTTCTCCTTGGCCAGGCGGAACACATCCCGGACCATGCGGGGGCCCTCGCCCAGGTACTTCTGTACGAACTCCGAGCCCACGACCCGGATAAATGCAGCTGATGGCAGGATGACAAGGGTTAGACAGGGATGAGCCTCCGGTAAGGCTCGTTCTGCTTTAACTGAAACTGGGAATTCCCTGAGGAGACCCCTTCCTTCGGATGCCCACACTGAGTCATTCTCCAACACCTCAAGGACCAGCCATTTGCTTGTATCCCACAGCCACCCAGTGGCACGAATCGTGAACCCTGTCCACAGATGTGTTTTTTGGCCCAACAGTTAACAATCAGCATATTTAGAAAAACAAAAAACAAATGTATCTATGCTTCAGCATACAGAGAGAAGAGCTAGAGGCATTCATGGAACCCAAGATAGAGAAAGAAAATCTGGCTTTCTGGAGTGCTTGAAAAATCAGCGAGAAAACAGACAGGCTGCCATGCATGAAGGCGTCATATCGCCTTGCCATGAGCTCCAACTTCCCCTTTGCTATAACGGACCCACTGTGGAACATCATACAGGAGTCAAGGACCACAGGCACGTCTTCTGACGTGATCGACAGCTGGCAATGGGGCTGAAGGCAGGTTTGTTCTGGGCCCTTCCTTTTTAACTTGTTTCTTAAAGTTTAACGTAAAGTTGCAGCCCCTATTATTCTCTGTCCCCTTCCTCTGCTTAGTTTTTTTCATACATTTAGCACCACGTGGCAGATAATCTGTTCACTTATCTATCTGTTCAAGAGCTTTCCCAACTAAGACGTCGCCTCCAAGACTCCATGAGGAATGGAGACTGTTCTGTCCACTGCCATGTCTCCAGTACCTAGAACGCAGCCTGGCTCCCATTAGGTGCTCAGTAAATATTCACCAAATAACTAACTTTTAGGTGTTGATTTCTTTTTTCCCCAGCCACGTTGGGCACTTCTCCAAGGAAGGGATACATCTGATTTCATCATATCCCAGCACAGGGCCTGGGAGAGCAGAAGTCCAAAACACTGCTAAGCTGTTTAACAGTCATGACAATGGCTAACATTTATTGTCTACTAACTATGTGCCAGATGTGCTACCAGAAGCTTTTCATCGATTTAATCCTCTGGACAACCAAGAAAAAATGGAAAAGAGTCACAGAGAGGTTAACTTACTGAGTAGTTACATAACTAACTTATATAAGTAGTTGTAGGGGAGCCAGATCTCAAACCAGCAGTCCAGTCCAGAAAACACACTGCCTACCCACTGCCTTCTACGCTCCCTGGCTCACATTAGGATTTTAGTATGAGCTGAGCTCTGTCCTTAGGCTTTACAAATAGTAATACAGTGACTTCCAGACGTCTTGTCTGGAACCTACAAGAATGCATTTATAAATGACCACATGTGTGTGTGAAACAAGTTTGACAAAACAGTACAAGCTGTGTGTGGGATGGCCTCCAACATCTTTTTTTGCATTGTTTTAAATGCTGGTTGCAACCCACAAATTGGAATTCGTAATTACTAATAGGTCACAATCCACCGTAGGAAGAACACGGAATCATTTTCTTAATTCTCACAATCATGCAGTGAAGTGAGTCTTCTATTAGATGGGGAAACTGAGGCACGAGGTGATTAAAGTCACCTGTCCAGGACTGCACAGCCAATGAGTAAGAAGCACAACGGGGTCCTGACCCCAGAGCCCGTGTTCTTAATCACTGTGTTGTGCCACTTCCTGAAGAGGATGAGAGTAGGGAGCAAGGTCAGAATTGCCCAGAAGGTCAGAACTTGCGGGAGGCGCCAAGTGGCTCACCGGTAGTGTGATGAGCCACAGCCTTTGCCAGCATGGTCTTCCCACAGCCAGGCGGGCCATACATGAGGACGCCTCGGGGAGGATCGATGCCAATCTGAAAAGCAGAAGTGGAGAGAGGATGAGCCAGGGAGTCCTGTCACCAACCCAAGACTCAGTAGGGCCCCTTCTGTCCCTGCTCCTCACCTGCTTATAGAGCTCAAAGTGTGTAAGCGGAAGCTCCACAGCCTCCCGCACCTCCTGCTTCTGGATGTCCATGCCCCCGATGTCCGCGTACATCACGTCTGGCTTCTGGTCTGATGGCAGAGCAGAGCTGGGGCTCCCAGCCTGGCCCACAGGGTCCCCCGAGGAGTCCCCGGCCCCAGCCCCTCCTCACCTGAGGTGAGCATCATGATGCTGCTGTCGGCCTCGGGAGGCAGCACATCCACCAGGGCGTTGCTGTGCTTGTGGAGGGCCACCGAAGCATTGGGCTTGAGCAGCTCCCGGTCGATGGTGCTCAGGATGCGCACGTAGTAGTTGGAGCCTTTGGGAAAGGGACAGAAGGGGGAGGGGAAATGAGAAGCGCCAGACCCTTGGCACTGTCCCCTCCCCACAACCTCACAGTTGCACCCTCCAGGCCACCAGTATCTCTCACTCGGACCGACTGACCCCCTCTCCAGGGCTCTAGCCTCCTCCAGTCTGTCCCCCGCATTCACACTAACAACCTCCTTGTACATTTATAGCCGTAGCTCTCTTGAGCTCCAGCCCCGGGGGTCCAGCAGCCTCCTGGAAAGCCTCCCCCGGGATCTCCCCTGGATATCTCTCACCCACCATGTCCTTGAGCGTCCTGCGCATCTTCCCCCAAATTGTGCTGTTCCTCCTGGGTCTGTCTCAGGGAGGCCCACAGTCCCTAGTCACCAGCCAGAGCCCCAAGCCTCATCCTGGACCCTTCTCCCCTTTCCTCTGCAGCCCATCTATGCAGTCACTATGGCCTTCCACCCAGCCTCCTAAATGTCCTTCCAACCAGCCCCTCCTTTCCTCCCCCTGGACCCTGCCCTAATCCAGCCCTGTTCTCTCCCATCTGGGTCTCTGCACCGTTCCCTCCTCGCCCAGCCTCCAGTCTCCTCCAATCCACCTTCTACATTTATAGCGGCGATGCACATGTCTCTGTCCAGTCTCAATCTCTCCCCTAACCTTCAGGCCTGGCTGTCCAGCAGCCTCCTAGACTCCTACCTGTGATGTCCTAGACCGCCCTCGCTGTCTCCCCGCAACCTACCCCTCTGCCCGTGTCATCCTGGGGGCAGCCCCACTGTCTCCCTAAGTCCTACAGGTCAAAGACCAACCTACCCCTCTGCCCGTGTCATCCTGGGGGCAGCTCCAATGTCTCTCTACAGGTCAAAGACATCATTCTGGATCTCTCCCTCCCTTTACCACCTCACTACCAGCCCATCGGTCCAATTCCAGGCTCAGTCACACACCTTTCCCCACAACCTTTACAAGAAATGGCTTGGTCCACAGGAGCAGAGGCCAGAAGCAGTAAAGACAGATAAGATACAGAGACAATGACCATCATGAAGGCAGGGCTTGGACCCACGTTAATAACAGCAACTACCACATACTGAGCCCTTACCAGAGCCCAATCTCTTAACGCTTCACCCATGGTTTCAAAGTGCAGGTGCCAGCCCAGAAGGAGTCATGAAATCAATTTAGAGAGTCACGACCAGAACATAACTTAAAGCAAAACAGACTTGAACAGAATGGAAAAGCAATTAGAGTATGTCACACAGGCTAAGTATCAGTTGGTCAAACCTTTACTATATAAATTATATACACACAGACAAAGAGAGAAAGAGAATATAAAATACATTTCCACTTAAGCATCAAACTCAAAATACTCTGAAAAACACCATTACACTTGTCTTCCTTGTCTGCTGTTATAAGACCCTAGCACAGTTCCTGGCACATGGCAGGAAACACTTAACAGCTGTTGAATGAACAGATGAGTGAATGAGGAACCCTCCACCCCTCACCCCCTCACACCTGTGGTGGAGCCCACGATGGCTGTATTCTGATCCACAGCCTCCAGAAACTGCCCGATAACTAGCGGGATGCTCTGGATTCGCTTCACCTCCTCCTGGGCGTGGAGGAATTCCTTCTTCAGATTCTTCTGCTCATCCTTGATGTACTCCTCCTGCACCTCCAGGAACTCCAGCTCTTGCTGCAGCTTCTGTGAGCAGACAGAGGAGAGGCAGGGGCTGGGTCCAGGCCTTGCTGAGCCAGGGAGTGGCAGAGGTGAGGGAAGTATAGGCTGCTGGGCCCTGTGCAGGGTCCGGCTTGGGCTTGAAAGTACCTTGTAGCGGCTGTACAGGTCCTCTAGGTCCTCGGGCTCAGGCCCCAGGAACGAAAGGCCAGTCTGGGGCCGTGACACTGACAGTGCTGGGATCTCATCCTAGACCAAGGAGGGAAACTCAGGGTGGAAGAAGAGGGTCCCCTACCCCACTTCACCATGAAGTTACTCATCCCCTAACATGTTCCTGATGTCACCCAGCCCCTAACAGATCCCTTATACATGAACTAGCTTTCCAAACAATCTTTTGCTATTATATGCCACTTGAAACATGTCCCCAATGTCACCCAAATCCTAACTAAGGCCTAAATGTCAACGCCTTACCACACCCCAAAGCCCTCCAGCGCCCGTCAACGGGTTTCTAATGTCAAACACATACTTGGCTCTCATATAGGCTGTTAAAGTCACCCTGCCTTCAAACAGCCCTGGCATTACCCAGTCACCCCCAAAAGATCCCTCATGTCACAAAACCCCAACTCATATTAGGCCCTCATGTCATCCAGCTCCCCAAGTAGGCCCCAAATATCACTTGGCCAGACCACAGATATTACTTAGCCCTCGAACATCAGCCAAGCCCCGAACACCAGTCAGCTCTCCAGCCCAGCCTTGGACATCATTCGGCTCAAAGGACGAGTCCTACACATCACTCACCACCCAACTCATCCCCAGCCCCGCCGAGCCACCGATGTCACTAAGCATTCCCAACTAGACCTTGAAATCATTCAGTCCCTAAGAACCTCTAACGTCACTCATTCCCCCAGCCCCGCTTTCCGAGGCTTACTGCGTTCCTAACATCATTCAGCCACCCAGCCCAGGCCTCTGGACGACACGAAGCTCCCCACCGAAGCCTCCGAAATCAGCCAGACTTGGGCCGGGGTCCCTGCAGTCACCCAGCACCCCACTCAGATCAGTCTCGCCCTCTCCCTGCGAGCCGGGCCCCACCGGACCTGAGCTTTCTCCACCAGGATGCCTATCTCCTCCATAGTGACCAAGCCCGCCCGTGCGTGCCCCGGCCTGATCTAGTCACCGCTTCCGCTGACGTCACCGGAAGTCGAGGTCCTAGGTGGATTCTGGGATACGTAGTTTAGGAAGTCGCTGAGAGTGGGCCGGGTGGGCCCAGGTAGGAGGGTAGGAAGACCTCGCCCTGGGCTCCGCCCCTAAGAAACGCTCTTGCGCTCTCCAGGACCCCGCGGGCGCGCGGGTGGGCCCCGGGCGGTGCGCGTGCGCAGTAGCGCGCGGTAACGCCACCGCGCGCGGCGTTTTCGGTGGCGGGTTTTCCCGCCGGTAGGCGGCACTGCCGTGTCACTCTTTCAATTGAGGAGCTGCTCAGAAATCTGTCAGCGAGGGACTGGAGGCCCATCGGCGTCTTCGGGCCGCGGTCCGGGCCGCACGTGGACTGTGCCGGAAGATTGTCCGCGGAGGGGCGAGAAGGCCCAGGCTGCCGCCTGGAATGACACTGCTTGGGGCCGCCGTGAGGAGCCCCGAGCCCGCGTTAGCGTTAGCAGGCAATCAGACCCCGGTGTGGGAGGGCTGGAGAAAATGAGAGGCCGGTGCCAGGGGTTGGGTCACACAGGTGTTAAAGAAAGAAACAACAGGCCAAAATGGAACCGCTTTTGCTAAATCAGTCGCCAAAACGTAACAAACCAAATTGCAGTTTTAGCCTCTCTCTGGAGTGGATTTTAAACCGATCAATCTGAAGTTTCCTGATCTACGCTACTGAGGTAATCTGGCTGATAAAATCCCCCGCCTTCTCCGCAGCCTGAAATAATCCACTCTTTTAATTTCTTAGTCCCATGCTCTTTCTGCATATTAAAAACTTCCGTTTTGTACAGTTCATCAGACTTGCTTAATAAAGCCAATTAGACCTTTGAATTGTCTGTTGAATTTTGTTCTTCAACACGGGATCTGTAGCCCAGTGTCTGGCCCGGTGCTTAAGTCTTGTGTGCATCAACTCATTGGAATATCTTGATATACATTATGTTCCCTCTTTTACAGAGAAGGAAACAGGCTTAGAGCCATGAAGCCTCTTGCCAGTCACAAAGACCAGAACACAGGGCCCCAAATCTGTCTGTTCCCAAATCCTGTGCTTCTGGCCCCGGGGATACACTGCCGCTCAGCACACCACCTACAGTTAGTTCTAAGTACGGGCGTACCTGGAAAGAGATTTCCGGTTCCGTTCCAAACCACTGCAATGAAGTAAATATTGTAATAAAATAATGCACAGGAATTTTTTGGTTTCCCCATTCGTAAAGTTACATTCATTTTATCTTATAGTCTATTAAATGTGCAATAGCATTATGTCTTTAAATATGTACATCCCTTATTTTAAAAATACTTTATTGCTGTACATGCTATCATCTGAGCCTCCAGCGAGTCTTATTATTTTTGCTGGTGGAGGGTCTTGCCTTGATGTTGATAGCTGCTGACTGATCAGGGTGGTAGTTGCTGAAGGTCAAGTGGCTGTGGCAATTTCTTAAGAGAATACAGTTTGCGGCATCAGTTTGTAACTGATCACAATAGGTTTGCTGCTTGGGGTGTTCTATTTAAGATCGAGAGATGGTAGGTAGTTTTATTTATTTGCAGCAAGTAACAGAGAGGGATTCACATTTAAAATCTCATCTTCCCAAAGGGAAGCTTAGTCATTGTTTATGTACACTCATTGGTTAATTACATGTTGAGTTCTTTGCAGTTGGCTGAACTTGGGCTCTGGGCAGCCCATCCAGTTATAGCTGGGCCTGCAAAATACTGTGCTACATTTTAACATTTAGCAAGAATAGCATGTAGTAAGGACTGCTCAGACCTTGAGACCCTGTCCCTTCTAACAAATTTCTCTGTAGCGTGCCATGCTGTGTGATAGCATTTTATCCACAGTAGAACTTTCAAAATTGGACTGAATCCTATCAAATCCTACCACTGCTTTATCGACTAAGCTTATGGAGTATTCTAAATCTTTTGTTTTCATGTCAACAGTATTAACATCTTCATTAGGAGGATACACATGACTTTTCCTTTCGCTTGAACACTTAGAGGCCATTGTACGGTTGTTGATTGGCCTAATTTAAGTATCGCTGTGTCTCAGGGAATAGGGAGGCCTGAGGACAGGGAGAGAGATGGGGGCACGGCCAGTTGGTGGAGCAGTCAAAACATACCTGTTTATCAATTAAGCTCACCATCTAACGGGTGCAGTTCGTGACACCTCAAGGGAACGACAATAGTGATATCAGAGATCGCTGGTTACAGATCACCGTGACAAATAGAATAATGAAAAAGTTTGGAATTTTGCAAATATGACAGGAAATAAATGCTGTTGGGAAAAAGGCTCCAGGCAGGGTTGCCACAGTCCTTTAAAAAGCGCTATCTGTGAAGCACGTTAAAGCAAAGCACAACAAAGTGAAATGTGCCTGTAAACCTTTTATTGAAGTATAAATACAGGAAAATCCACAGATTGTTCGCTCGCAGTGCGATGAATTTACACAGCGAGCACACCCACATAGCCAGTACTCAGATCAAGACACCAAACGTTAGCAGCTCCCAGAATCCCTGCACGTGCTTCTTTCCACCACTCCATCATCTATGAAAGTTATCACCTGATTTCTAACAGCATGGATTACTTTTGTCTGTTTCGAACTCCCTAGATACCCATAGAGTGTGTATTGTGTGTTTGGCTTTCTTAACATTATGTTTGCAAAATTCATATTGTGTATAGGAATAGTTCTTTCGTTTTCTGTATGGTTTCCACTGTATGAACATGTCTAGAACGGAATAGTTTCCAGTTTGGGGCTATACTGGTGCTATGAATATTCTAGTACATTTCTTTGATGAACATAATGCGGATATACCCAAGAGCAGGCTTGCTGGTCTTAGGGCAGGTAGGTATGTGTTCAGCTTTGGTGGATGCTGTCAAACTGTACTAACTTGCACTCCCACCAGTTGTGCATACACTTAGTATTGTCCATCCTTACGTTTTTTTTTTCCATTCTGGTGGGTGCATCATGGGTTGTCACACCAGACACCATTTGTACATTCTTAGTTTTAGCCAGGCAATTTCCAAACCATGATCTCTGAATTTTTACAACACCCTCAGTGGTAGGTTTGCTTTTCCTCATTTTACAGGTGAGGAAATCGTGGCTCAGACAGGGGAAAGCCACTTCTACTCAGTCACAGAGAGAATTAGCGGCTCCTGCTCAATGCCAGCCC